AAGTATAGCTTTTATATTCCTTACCGTTTTTTATTAACCGTCACATGATTGTTACCGTTACCTTCCATATGCTCGAAAACGCATTACAAATATTAGCGGAGCCACTATCACTAATATTAAACAACGTACAAAACGTCGGTGGAAGAGAAAAGGACAGTAGAACAAAAAAGCAGTCTTTTTTCTTTTTTTACTAGTTTTACTAGAGCCACTATCACATACACTACTTTCATCCACTATGCTTGTAAGCTGTAAAGCAATTCATTTATAAGTAATTAACTTGGCTACCAAGAAACCCGTGAAATCTACGAGCCTTTTTTCACTCACGCAAGAGTGTAAACTTGACTGAAACTCTGAACCCCCTTTCCAGTGTATATCAGTGATATATATCGCGATTTCTAAATGTGAAACATCGTGATCAAGATATTGATAAGTGTTATACGTCGTAAACCAAAAACAAAGTTGGTATTTGTGCTTATTTAAGACAAAGCGTTAAATCAAAGCATACGGAAGTTGTGAGTTTCGGCAAAGCCTTCTGACGAACGATTAGATAAGAGATAATATTAATCCCACCCTTCGATTTATTATCCTTCAGGGGCAACTAGAGCTATAATAGAGAGCAATATAAAAACAAAAAATACGAGAGAGAGAGAGAGAGAGAAAGAGGGGGAAAGAAAAAGAAAAAGAAGAATCAGAAAACAAACAAAGATATGAACTTAGGCGAATAGTCTTCGCTAGTCTACGCGGGAAAAAATGCAAATAGATAAACTGAAAAAAAAACAAAAAAAACATCAATAGAAAGTTTTGGCATGGTGGCAATTAGCGCGGTGACACGCCAAAGTCAAATGGAGCGTCGACCAATCAGAGGAAACGAAAAAGAAGATTTTGAAAGAAAAACTAATTTTTGAGAAATTACTTTTTTTTAGCAGTAATGAATGACGTTATTAAATACATTAAAAGACTGGATTGTCTTCTAACGTGCCTATGTGCCTATGGGGAAAATACTGAAATAAAATAAAAGCCACCGAAACCAATCTCGTCACCACCCTCCACTAAGTTTGGCAGGCAAAGTCTCGCCCGTCAAATTTAGGTAATAAGTTTGTCAGACATGACCGAAACAAGCCGATATAGTTTTGCAAATAAAAAAATAAAAGAAGTTTTTACGAAGAAATATTTAACTGCCAAGTCGGTAAATATTTACTTATGCTAACATTACAAGACACGTGAGAATTTTCGAACGGAGTAGAGGAATTCATAAGTTTTCGAATGTTTCAGATTTTTCTCCCCGAGATTTACAGATGTGCCCTTGTTCTAGTTTTTTTTTTTTTTTTTGTTCCAGTACGATAGCAATTACAACACACGCTGCTAAAAAAACACCATGTTTTCTAAATCTGCTTTCACGCTTGAGCGCCACCAACTGGAAACCTTCACACTTCTTACTTACTTCACACGTATGCACAATATGGTTGTGCATACGTGTGAAGGGTGACGAATGGTCGGGTCGAAAAAAATTTGCTTTTATTTCGTCTTCTGACAAAATTCGATGTTTGTCGCCCGAGTATAGGGGGCATTCACTGGACGCCATATTTGAGGTAACTGTTCACAGCGCGTGCCCAGGAAAAGTTTCCATCAGCTCTCCGGCAACCGCAAGAGAAGAGGGGAACGAGAAATGCTCTTATCACCAGGACTCTCTTTTGTAGGTCCCAGGTTTCCCCAAACAACGCTATTCTCCTTCTAGAAGATTAGAGAAGATTAACTTGTTACTCAAAATTCGTACAAAAGCATCTTTCCCCTCTCTCTCTCTTCCCCAGTGGTAAGAAAGCAGCAGCGAGCTCAGCTATGACCGCCAGTGAATACTCCCTATATGACGAATTTCCTCTCTGCATCAGAGGAACTTCCCCGCAATAATTCCAACAAAAACGAATTGTGTGCGGTGTCACTAAAAAATCCACTACGCGGTAATCCGGGAATCTTTAAGCAGCAACGCTTTTTCACCGACAAGCTCTTCTTTTTATTTATTTATTTATTTTGTATTGCTTAATCTCAAGTGAGTGTTTGCGAGCAGTAAGGCTAGCTCCGTTGAGTTCGGTTCACCCCATGGCAGAAGTGCACTGCGGGGAAACGGCTGCTACGATAGCGCCGTCGCGGCCGTCGCTTGCACGCAGCGCTGTAGTACGCACACGGTGAAGCTGAAGTGACTCAATCAACAGTTTTGAGTGACTCTTTTAGATGAAACCCTTGTCCTAGGCTATTTTTGATGTCACCCGAGGGCAGTGTTGATTTTGCATTTCACGCACGAATTGTGGGCATTACGCACGCCCCTTTGTCGCGGAGTATAGGCCCGAAGGTAGCAGAAGGTACAAGGGCGAGCTGTGTGCTTTGAACTGGCCTGCCAAGTACGAGCGCCCGTGCAGCGAAACAGTAGTTGTGCGAAACGGTTTAGGGGAGCCACGATTTCGAACTCTTGCGCTTGAGTTAGGAGTTGTAGCAATAGTAGTTGTAATAAATAAGGTATCTAAGTGAGACGATAGTCGGGATATATTTAGGCAAACATGGGGAAAAAAATCAAAGAACTAAAAATTCTGATGCGAATAAAAAAAAAACACCATCTTCGATTTTTTTTTTTTTTTAATTTGGTTATCCTGCCGTACTCTATTTCGGCATTCATTTCTATTAAAAACGTCGTTCTTCCGCTTCCTTAGTTCGTCTGCTGCATACTGGCGGGGACGGTCACGTTTCGTTACTGACGAGGTAAAGGACAACGGCCTAGCGCGCACTCTCGTGAAGTGGCCGCGCCGCGCTGAGCTCGGCCGTGCAGCCTGTCCGGAGTTTGCCCGTGAGGGCATTCTGCGGCCAGGCCCGCACCTCTTACCCGTGGCCGGGCCGCTGCGTGCGCTGCGCCACCATGGAGATAGCTTCCCTGGTGGCGCTCCTTGGAACTACGCCGCGTGAGAGCCAATGGGAGCCTCGTTCCTTGAAACTATGACGCGCGCCAGCCAATAGGAGCATATCCATCAGATTTCTGCTACAGACGACAGGCTTCGCTCCACTGGGACAGGGGAAGGTACCGTTTGGCGCGGCTTGAAAGCTGATGGCGCCGGTTCGCTCCATGAGACAGTTAATGCTCCCGCATTAAATAGCACACACACACACACGCACACACACAAATGTCTTCAAGCAGCGTCCAGGGTTTTGTGCTGCTCTAGCCGATGGGCATCACGGCGACCGGCGCCGCAGTGTTGCGGTCGTCGCTGCGGCATTTCTTGTCACCTCCAGATTTTGCCACCGCGGAACAAACACGCCGGTACAGCCGTTGACTTTTTGTTTTTAACGTGAAACGCTCTTTGGCTAGGTGCTCTACATTTCGTGAAGTCCAAGAGTGAAACCTGGATAAAAGTGGGGCTCCCGAGGCTCGACACTGATTCGTTGACAGGAGGGACGATAGGTGAAGTACTCGACGCTGATCGGTTAACGGGGTGGTCGTGTGACCAGGGGTAGGCGAGGAGGGGTGGGTTAGAAGGTTCTAGATCACCAGGTTTATCATTTCAAGTATGCACATGCCACGCGTTAAAGTATCTGCAACGTCAACGTAGGCGTATAGCTGAACAGGCTAGACGTGCGGCAAAATGATGATATAAACGTTTTTGTTGTAGCGATTTGCTATATACTTTGATTTTTATCTTTATGTTGGCTTTTTCTTTCCTTGAGGATTTTTACTTAGCATCAAAAGAAACATACACACACACGCGGGCGAGCGAACCCGCGCACACACACATACACACACAAATAGCTCTTTACTCTATTGACATAGTCATATATGCTCGGTTTCACCATGCACGATGTACCGCGATGGACGTTATGAGGTACCCGAGCCAATCCATAGCTCTTAGCTTGTCACGTGACTTCGCGCTTCCGGTGTCGCTCCGTTCAACCGGAAGGACACGTGACGCTTTCCGAGCTATGGCTCCGGTGGCTCGTAGCTTCCTTTATGATCCATCCTAAAATGAAGCGATCCGCGCCGACTCGCCGACGCCAGGTAGTGCTGCATACAGACGTGAAATCTATTTATTTGTTCTTTTACTATCGAGCCGTCCCCACGTCGTTGCCGTTTGTTTAGTCAAAACTGCGACGCTGACGCCACGGGTGCGAATATCTAATTGACTTCGCAGCGCACCTGCAAGAAGGCCCGGCTCACATTTTATTACACTATGGTGCCTCGATTGCGTCTTCGACTGGTGTGTTTAGCGCCCTATCCCGCCCATACATCAAAAGTGGTCCCAATGTGTCAACAAATGACGCAAGTGTCATGCTGTTGCCTGTCGCGATCCTGGCGGTTGACCGTAGAAATGCTGGCGAAAAGCACGAGCGGACGCGAGTGTCGCTGTCGTCACGGCGTCCCTTTAGGCGTCCCAACTTCCGGCTGAGGTAGCTTCCGTGAACTGTCACAATGGAAAGCGACCTGCAGCAGAACAGGCGTCTGCCATTTTTACCACAACTGTTGGGACGCCGCCAGGGTCGCGACCGGCGACAGCATGACACTTTTATGACGTCATCAGGCGGAAATCGAGGGACCACTTTTTTGGCCGCGGTAAACACACCAGTCGGAGACGCGTTCCAGGCACCATAATTACACTAAACCGTTTCTCAAGTCGTCTGCTTCTTGCGCAGGAGTTGCGGTGACGTCAGGACGACACCGAGCCCTGACTGGCTTTGATTGCAAGAACAGCGGGTAGACCTCAATGATAGATGCCTTGAAGTCTACCCGCTATTTTTCTCGATCAGCCAATAAGAGCTCGACGTTTTGACATTATCGCAACCCCTGTGCAAGAAGCCGACGAACTTGCGCTACGTATATCAAAGGTTTGATTTCGGTTACGGTTTTGTTCCGGTTCGACCAAAAATAACGGTTTTCGGTTCGCGTTCAGTTCGACACCCTCCAAAAAATCGACCGTAGGCAAGAGTGTGTTCGAGTGCTGATGGCTGTTTTCACTTGTTTGGTGCAGTGGAGCTGGGCGGTGCCGCCTTCAAGGGCTTCTTCATCGCGGCCATGGACCCGGTGACGCAGAAGCGGATCGGGACCTTCCTCAAAGTGAAGGGCACGCACCCAGTTTCCTGCAGCGCCGTGACCCACAACGACGCGCACCCCAAGAGCCACGTGTCCTTGCTGTGGCTGCCGCCGCAGAACGTGCCTGAGGGAGACGTCGTCTTCATGTGAGCCATGCACATACAGCGCTTCATCTGCGAGATAACTTCTGAAGTGCACCTCGGTCTGCGTGCTTGAGACCTGAAATGAGTAGCAGATTATTCAAAGCGAACCAAGATGTGCTTTACACATATCGCGGAGTCGTTCTGTCTTGGAGAGATTGCGACAGAGGTTCGCGCAGTTGATGAGAAGTTTACTGAACACTGCCGATTGTTGGGCGAGCTATTGCTGAATTTGATAATAAATGGTAGTGCTTAGAAACGAAGACAACATGAGAACTGGACGCCACTGTACGCTAACTTTAAACTGTTTATTCACGTAAAGTGGGTCCTCTTCCCGCGAATAATTGCAATTTAGCGAACAGTATACTGCCCAGCTCTCCTTTTGTCCTGGTCTTCGAGCCCGACCATGCATTCTCAGATAAGTTTATCCAGCGCAGTGCGCCTGAAGGTCTTCAACGTGCATCGCGCAGTAGTGATCACACCACCGCTCGTCGGTACGATGCTGCTCCTTTGAACACATATAGACCAAAAAATGAGCGCCGAAATTTCGTTGTAGTATCCCTTTAAAGACAGGGAATTTCATGCACCATAAAGGTAACAGAATATTGTATTTGTTGAAAAATTCAGTGCTGATATTTGTGCGTTCTCGCTACCTTTTATCGCTCAGATAATTGTCATGTAAATTAATGAACCGCGGGCCTTTTAAAGGGTTTTGAATATTTAGATGTTAAATTGCTTTAACATTATTCCCAGCACCCGGATAAAAGAATAAATTCAATTTTTAATAGTATGTTCACAAAACATATAAGTTAAGAAGCGCTGTCTTTAAACACCTAAAGACAGAATCCGAGTCAAACAACTAAAATGCTAAAGTTTTTTTTCTTTTTTTTTTAAGGCAACGCGTGACGCATAGGACTTAATATTGCATCCAGTGTTTGAGCTGTTTGTCTATCTTGATAACGATGTCAGCGTTTTTCATACGAGAAAAAAAAGGAAACCTTTCTGGAAAGGCTATTATGGTTAAATGGCGTATTTGAGTGATTGTGGCGTTAACTGGGGGGCATGCATTACCGCGATTTGCATTAATAGTAATAATATTAGAATTAGGATGTTCTAATGCACATGATTTGTTGCTTATTATCTAATTTCAAACGCGCGAACAAGTATGACAATCAAAAGTGTGCTAATTATAATCACTGGTGCCAATTGCAGCATTTTTAATTACGAAGTTATAAAGTAAAAAAAGCAGGTCGGCCACCTTCATTGGCGGATCGGAAACTATGCTTCAGATGTGGCGAGAAGAGTAGCATTGCGGAATCTGCAAAGATGGTTATTTGAGTCACAAATAGAGTCAGAACGGAAGCGCGTGTCTCTCGAACATTCGGCCTCCAACACGCGCTCCATGCCTTCCGTCGTGCTTTGGCTGCGCTCGAGGTGCACGAAACGCCGAAGCGTTGTCGAAGGTGGGAAGCTCGCGCTGGAGGCGGGGCGACTGAAGCTCCTCCCTGCCGTTCTCACCTTGGCAGTGACTCTTAAGCGCGGTTCAAACAGACCCGGAATACAAAGACGGGCGCCGGAACCCGTAGTGACGTCAGCACTCCCTCCGTACGGGCGGTGACGTAATTACGGCTTCCGGCATCCGGAGTGAGGAGTTGAAAAAAATTCAAGAGTCTGGAGGGCGGTTTGCTAACGCAGGAGGCGCCGATCACCCCTCGAGTTTGCGAAACCTGCTTTTCTGCGTGGACTACGGTGCTGCGCAAGTTGAAACCCGTGTGATACTCGGTTTCCCGATGCAATCTCCTGGTCATGCAGCTAGTCTCGGGCACTAACTTTTCCTTGTTTCTGTAGGAACCGGTCTACCTCAATATATTCGAGCGACAAAAATTAAAATAACCTACTCTGGGAGTGCAAAGCCCGAATAGGACCCCAGGGGACAGGCCCTTATGCTACTGAAGAAATACATTACCAATCTTTAAACTTACAACTAGCAAGGATTTAAAACTAGTGTAGCTCCCCCAATCCCTTTTCAATTTTTTTTTTTTTTTTTTGCTTTTGTCGCAAACTGATTTATGCATTGCCGAGCGCTCGTTCTCCGCCCCAATGTAGAGCCAGAGGTGCGAGCCGAATGCCAGTTTCAGAACCAACCGTTCTCTCATCAAAAATCGTACGATTTTCTAAAATTCGCAATGGGAAAAAGGCGCCCAACGGAGCTCGGGAATACATTGAGCTGAATGGCGCCAGGTACCAAAAATGGCCCCTATTTTTCCATTAAAATAACTTTTAATGAGGTGACGCTTAGTTCTGGAACTATCTGGTGCTACATTTGGGCGGAGAATGAGCTTTCCGGGATGCAGTTTATTTTGGGGGCTAACAAAACACTCTAAATTGTTTTGGGGGGAAACCCTGAACTTGAATTTAGTTTCCAAACTATCCGAGCTTACATGGAGACCGCTCAGTCGGGCTATTTTTATCGCGCATAAATGTCAAATGCCTCGCTAGACTTTTAATGCGAAAGCATTAACTGTTTTATGGAGCGAGCTGACGTCATCAGTTTGAAGCGCGAAAACGGTAGATAGTTTCCTTCAGTTCCATTGGCTGGCGCGCGTCGACGGGGCTCCCATTGGCCACTGCGCTCGTCAGTTTCCACGACCGCTCACCCCATGGCGCTGCGTGTCCGTTGCTCCCCTGGGCAGAGAGCGCCCAAGGTCACTGTGCCCAGGGTAGCACACGCGCTGACCGGCGATGAAAAGTACGCAGCAGACGAAAAAGGGCGCGGACGAGCGGCTTGCATGCTGTCGCATTCGTGCTTAGGTGTACCTCGTTCCTTTTTCGTGAGGAGCAGCTTGTTAGAACGGAAGGGCGTGTCGCTCCCGCTCATTTACTAGGTTTATCCAATTAACGTCATCATTAGTGGTAGATGCACGGTGCCGCGTGATGGCGATAGAGAGGGTCCTTGTCTTGTAGGCGCTGCGGTTGATCTGCGTCCTCTCGAATCCCAAGCAGCGTGACAGAAGATCATGTTGCCAATGCAGGGCGACCGTGGTCCAGTCCTACTCGAGGTACTACACGGGCCTGGTGGCGGCGGTGCCGTCGACACCCCAGCTCCAGTACATCAAGAAGAAATAGGTGGACCGCCCTTGGACGCTGCCCCGTGGGCGGGCATTCTCAGGGGGCCCTGGTTCTCGACGAGGCCCTTGGCGACGGCCAAGCACGTCGTCGGTCGGCAGGGTCGCCAGGATAGGTTGTTAGCTCGTTGACGGTTATCCCTCCCCCGCTGCCCCGCGCACAACGGAAGCGTGCACACACGCCGGTGCAGCTGCCTACGAAAACATTGGGCGTCTGTTGTAGCATACGTTTCATCTCCTCAGTATTTGTTTCTTGTTGTTATGAGGGGAGGGAATTAGGCTTTCCTTCTGCCAGCCACAATGCTGTAAATTAAGAAGTGCCGCGCGCTAAGCCGGTGGGCACGCGCAACTAATTATTCCTGTCAATTTCTTTACCCCCCCCCCCCCCCCCCCCACCCGACCCCATTTGTGCGCGTCGTTGTGACCCTTACATCTCCAGCTCTTCAAAAATGGCGCGACTTTTGTTTGTAGGCTACAGATAAAACGGGCCAATTTTGTCCGTAGTCTGGCATAACAAAGGAAGTTGCTCGGAGAAGTATACCCCTGCAGCTCTTGTTCTCGAAGTGTCGTTTCGCGTTTTCTTTATTCCCAGCAAGGATTTTTTTTTTCTCTTCTTCCCCTGTTCAGTTTCCAAGACAATTGTGTGTGACGAGAACATGTCAGTTTGAATAAAAGGTCTTTTCTACTGTTATTTATACCGTGCCCTTGTGTTGTGTACTGATATGTTGCGTGTGCGAGTGCTTTGAACCCAACAGCATAGGCGTACCATCTTGGGGGCAAGGCATGTGCTGTGCCCCCCCCCCCCCCCCCCCCCAAAAAAAAAAAAAAAAAAAAAGCCGCCACTGAGCAGGGTTATTGGCCGGCGGCGCCCAAGGGATACCAAGGGTACCGCCCCCCGGCCCTGGGGGGAGGGGAGGGAGTCTGGTTTGCCTTTCCTACTCAAAAACAAGTTCGTACACCACTGCCCAACAGAGCTTCTTCATAACACTTATATTGCAAACAATTCTACTTATATCTTAGCAGCACAAACGTGAACCTGGAAAAACTGCTCAATCCAATTAACAGCACAGCATGGTGGAGTGATGATGAAATACACCGGTTAGCGCGCACTACTTTTGGATTCCTGAAAATTTATTGTGGTGTAGGTTAGTGCTTTCAACCATGCTCCAATGCTCCATGAAGAACAGTAATGTGATTAATCGTGGTCATTTTGGAGCAGCTATTTAAGCAGCCAAAAGTTCATTTTGGAGAAGCAAAAAGAGCGTTTGGAGCATAACCGCACACTTTTCATTTATATCACTGCAAATGTGAGGAGAGATGGCAAATATTAGGAGAACAAATACTAGCTGTTTAGTTGCGGGTGGGAGGACCAGACACGGTAACAAGATGACTGATGAAGGACAGCGCTAACTGCCGTGAATGATTACTTTAGGGACAAAGTCCCACTGAACAAATGTTAAAATACAATCATTTTGAGCGCCTAGATTTATGTGTCTTTCAAGTTCTGGGGGGTTGTAACAAAACTACAATTCTTAATTCAGACAAAAAAACAAAGCATAAAAAATAAACACAAAAAAAAGACTACCTGCTTGCACCATGTCTCGCTCAGGAGTACCTTTCCCCTTAGCACGCGAGTGCGCTGCAGCGAAGCAAGACACGCAACATCGCGACGCCTAGTTCGCGATTGTCGCTTCACTCTATTACACCAGTATGCGGTGAGAAGCACACTCGACAAAGCCAACTAACCACCGGAACAGACAAGACTTATTGCAAAACTTCTGAGTACTGTCAGTGCTTGGTGCGATATCAAAGTGAATAGTACGTTATTTGAGGCGATCATCGAAAGTCCTGAAAACCCGCACGAGCTTACCCTAACGATCCGGCCCGGTAGCGAGGCCTGCAGCGGTTATATTTTCAGTATTATTTAAGTGAACTTAAGTTCTGGCACAATGTTGATGCAAATTCCTCACATTTTGGTCAAATGTAGCAGGGCAAGCACTTTGGCAGTTTGGTGCAAGTGGCGCAGCAATCACATTACTGGAAGAAGGAACTAACCAGGGTTCAAACCTTAATCTACAAAAACTAAAATAGAACACTGAGAAAAAAAATTGCCATTGTGCTTTTTGCTTTGCTTGAGACAGAAACCCTGAAATTTTCCTCCACAATTTCATTTGCAGAGTACCCAGCCAGTTTTCTATAGTGCCACGAACATCGGTTTTCAGACATCAAAGAACAAATAGCGAGGCAATCTGCACACAAAATATTCCGCTTCTCTGCGCAAGCCCCAGGTGTTGCCCTGCCACATGAAGACACCAAAACTTGCCAGAGAAGACAAACAGCAGCACAATCGATGCAAACCAACAACCTTTGAAACTTCTATCTTTATTCCGAAACAATGCAACTTGTATTACACTTATTTGTGCGGAGAATTCCCACAGGTTATTTCGGCATAGCAGTGCAACACAGCACCGGCCATTGTTATAAAAATAACAAATTATTATCACTGTCAATGACGGGTCGTTTTACAGTGGTCACACTGCCACTGCAAGGCAAACCAAAACTCCGTGACTGTACGGCACCGATGCAGACTCCTCATAGTCTTGCCTGCTACCACTCACAAGGGGTCCATATCCCATTTGCTCGGTCACTTGGGCGAGCCTTTCTTAGGGGACAGGATTTTCAACACGCAGTCACCGATGGTGTCGTGCAGTATCACCAACTGCTTGTGGCCGTTAAACACCAGCTCCCTGAAAAGAGTGAAATCACCGACATGACCACAATGTTTTCCGGCATCATTGGTCAAAGCAGGTTGATAAACTTAAAATGTCATGGCCCCCAAATTTTGCATCTTTGGAGCTGCAAAATAATCTTACTTACCACCTGCTTTTAAACAAGGCATGCAAAATTAAGCCACATTATGTGACGACTAACCAGAGATGCTTTCCAAGTTGCAACCTGTGACAAACGGCAGACCCACCTAATTGGCAGCCGTACCTTCGAACGACTATGTTGAGAACCAAATTAGTAAGGGAAGTATACTTTGAGTTTTAAGCGGAGGCATCTCCTTGATGCAAAATGAAAAGAAATCATAATTTAAATAAATCAAATTTATCCGATTTAAATCGCTGTAGTCACAAAAATAGTGATTCTCGACCACTAGATATTTCTCAACATAGCTGATTCATTGATTAACTCGTCCAGTCACTGATGAGAATGAGGAATAAAGTACTGTAAATGTAAAGTAGCCTAATTTACAACTTTTTATTGATGCAATCTCAACCATACTAGAACCAAAACAGCTTGATTTTTCTAGTTGGTTAAAAAAATTTATTTGATTTGTATTGCACCCGGACTTGTTGCAACAGGACATTATTTTTGTTTCTTTTGTGTTTTTAGTAGCAGTACGTTGTCACAGCCGACAATGTAGAACATAGAAATCAAGTTGAAAGCTCCGATTTTCTTCGAATAGCACTTCTTTTTGCTTGTGTTCACCCTTATATAAACCTTCTTTTGCTGAATTATTCTCTGATTTAAATTTAAAAAACAAAAACAAATATGCACAAAAAGCGTCAAATGATAAAGAAACGGTAAATAAAAATATTATTGGGATTATTTCCGCAGGAAAGGTTTGATTTAAATCAGGATAATAAAACTGGTCCGATTTAAATCAGGATAGTAAGAGCAGTCCAACTTAAATCATTTTGATTTGCCATTCTTTCTTCAAGGGCCTACTGTAGTATTTGTGCTATCTGAATTAAATTGGTAGGGTCTAAAGCATGCAAACTTGGGAGGCCACATCAACTTTTAACTGAAAATGTCAAAACAAAGCTACAGTAAAACCTCGTTATAACAAAATTGAAGGAGCGTTCGTAATTATTTCGTTATAACTAGGGTTCAGCGTTTTCGGTTTTTATATTTTCGAAATTCGGCATACTTTTTTCGGTGTTTATTTTAAAATTAAATTTTCGGTTTTTTTTGGCATATATTTATTCCCACACCAGTTTACCGGCTTCTTTCGGTGAATATAAAAGAAGCACAATCGGACACCGGATCAGATGATCCTTGTAGCTGCGATATTTGCAATCATTCAAAGAATAACGACGCACATCCATACGTAGTCCTCGCTACAACTTCCGTCAGGACACACCTCAAAATCGCGCAATTCGTGGCCATAATCTTCAGTGCGCTTATTTTTCCTTCCCATTCTGACGACGCGACCGTCTGATGTGATGCCCGTACAAAAACCAGCGGAATGTAAAAAAAAAAAATCCATCGAGTTTATGTTTTTAACAACAGGGAAGTTTGAGAGAGCGTGTTAAGAAATGTATTGACGGCTTTTCTTGATGTCCTCTGGAGTGCATGAAGCGAAAAACCTTATACTAGCCCAGATCCAAACTTTTTTTTTTTTCGAGACCGGAACTTGACACACTAAGCCCAATCACAGAAAAGACATAGATGTCCCGCGAAAGCCAATCCACGACCTCTTGTGTTGCATGTTGAACCTTGGAAGAGGGCAATCACGAGGACGTCACATAATGTCGAACCTCGCAAAGCTCTCTCTCTTTCTCGCTCCCCCACCCACCTCAACGCGGCCCTAAAAAACTGAGCTGTTTCGGTTAAAACCGAATTCTAGAAAACGGATTAGACGTACTTTTATCGGTTTAAACGGAAAACACCGAACCTACAAACTGACCTTTTGCGGTTAAAACCGAATTTCCGAAGATGAATTCGGCGTACTTTTATCGGTTTTTATCGGTTTAAACCGAAAACTCCGAACCCTAGTTATAACCATTAGTTTGTTATAGCCAATGTCCATTTCTTCCCTATTAGCAAGCAAGGGGAATTATGATTGCTTTGTTATATCCATTAGTTTGTTATATCCCATTTTGTTATAACGAGGTTTTACTGTATGTGGGTTTCAAAATAACCTAATTTTTTTAGGGATGAAGCCCCTTAGGGTCTAGTCTTGTCCGTCAGGCGTCCGCGCTCACATTGATTTTGCTGGTGGTCGTGCTCGTGAGCTCACGTGCTCGTGTAAAAAAAAAAACGATAAAAAAAAAAAAAAAAAGTTTGCGCAGTTGACAGGGTTTGAACCTGTGCGGGGAGACCCCAATGGATTTCTAGTCCATCGCCTTAACCACTCGGCCACGGCTGTGGGACGAGTAGGGGGCTCTGAGATATGGTAGTAACTCGAGAGCTGGGGATGTCATGGATGAAACGTTGCATGTAGCCGCTCAACGTCTATACAGGAGTGGGTGCTGCGGTCAAATGCGTATATAATCGCGTTAAACTTTGCACGCATTGGCTCAACGTTTATAGACGAGAGGGCGCTGCGGTCAAATGCTCAAATGTGTATATAACCACGTTCCATACCACACATTCTTTTTCTGACATGAATGAAACACAAACTAAAAGCTCGGCATGCTGCGGCTCAGCGTCTACGCAGACAAGCACCACCAGAGCTTCGTCCCAATCAACATCATTCACCACGTGGAGATGCGGTCAATTTTGTTTTTTGTACTTACTTTCTGTACTCTGGTTTGATACCAGGCGGATCTTTTCAGTCACATAACAGTCACTCAACTGTGTTTGGAGATTTATGCTTGTCCTTTGTCCCCCCCCTTCTCCGGGAAATATCAAACTTTTGTCCACCTCGCTTGCACCTTTGCATTAATTGCATTATCATCTTAGCAATGATTAAAGAGACAACTCGGGATGGGGGTTGTCATTAGGTAAAGCACCTGGCTCGAGTTTGTGATGGTCGCAAATTAAGCTCAGCTCCAAGAGACTGACCTTGCCAATTGTTTCATACTGCCAAAGCAAGAAGAACCATCCTCCACAGTTAGTGCTGAAGTGCTTGCACGAGGAGAAGACGACATTGGTTTCTTTGAAGGCGTGGAACACGCAATTGACCTGCTTCCAGATGCCACACCCTACAGCCGGTCTCCGTGCCGCTATGGTGCTAAAACCACTGCTTTATTGAAGAGCAGACAAAGGCAATTATTTGCCAAGGCATCATTCTCCCAGCCAATGGACCATGGGCCTTCCCAGTAGTGGTTGTCACCAGAGGTGCAAAAAAATGTCTCTGGGAACTATGCGCCTTACAGTAAGATGACCGTCACTCTTGTCCAACCCCTTCCGCATGCTGACAACATCATGGACGACATTGCAGGCTCGTTATACCTCGCATGCCTAGCCTGAAGTTTGCATATTGGCAGGTTCGTGTTCGCCTGGAAGACCGAAAGACGGTGGTGTCCGTTACTCACCAGAGAACCTTCACGTGGGCACACATGCCCTTTGGGCTTAAGAATGCGGCATCTACATTCCAACGTGCCGTGCACTTCATCTTGTCTAATTTGAAGCCACATTGAGCACACTGCGGTGAGAGTTTACTTGGACAATGTGTTAATCTTCCTCCAGCTTTTGACGAGTTTCTGATGCTACTGAGTGAATTCCTTCATCTTTTTCATTCCAGTGAATTTGAAGTATTGCTGGACAAGTGCAGGTTTTCCCTGGAAGCCATTAAGTTTCTGAGCTTCATCTTGAGCAAAAATGGAAAGTGGCCGGGCCCAACCAAGGTTGATGCAATTCTACAGATCCCCTGTCCTACAAACAGCAAAGGCGTTTTGTCATGGCTCCAAGCAGCTAACTTCTACCACCGCTTCGTCAAAGACTTCTCGAGAGTTGCGGCGCCACTACAGAGTATCATCAGGTCTCAAGAGTGCATCAGGAACCCTCGTGATGAAGCCTTTGAAAGGATTCGCAAGACACTGACAGAAGTGTGGTGTATCGCGAGTAAGACCCAGTTGCAGCCGTTAGTTGCTCGACTCGTTCGTTTTAATCATTGCTCCCGACTGACCGAGACCCGTGCTCTTTCAAACCGCGCGCTCTTACCACATGAGGACCGCGCGCTTCCCAACATGTCCCGCCATCTGCTATAGCATAAGCAGATTCCCCTCACATCTCCCCCTCACTTGGCTATGATCCCATGTCTTGTGGGCGGTCTTCGCTCCCTCGTTCCTGCCCAGATGGGCATAGCCACAGGTTCGGACACTTCGTGACCTCCTGCAATTATCGCTTCAGCTGGTACCTCTTCGGCCTGAATGTCCAAGCCCAAGGCTGCTGAGGATATATCACTCAACCGACGCGCAGCCAATAACCTTGGTCGTATGTGGTCCATGTGCCGTCGAACTTGCCCGTCTTCTGCCTGGATTATCCATGACCGCGAACCCAGGCGCTCTGTGCTGAGCCCCGACATCCAAGTTCGTCCACTTGGGAACTTCAGAACCCATACGGATTGTCCTACCATAAACTAGCTTGGATTTTCGGTTGTCGCTGGTACGTCGTCCTTGGGTTCGCGTATCAATCTCTCAAGTGGAGATGGCAACTCTCGTCAAAAGATCATCCACGCTGGTGTCCTGCCTGTTGCCGTGTGCACTGTGGTATGTTGCTTGTAGAGGAACCGTGGTAGAAAGCACTTAAATTCCTCCCTTTCTCTTTTAGCAAGCATCTGCATCAGCTGCTGCACCATCCGTTCCATTTGACCGTTTGTTGCCGGGTGGTACGACACACTTGTGACTGCTAAAATTCCATTTAGGCGGTAAAATGTCTTTATTTCATTGGAAACAAAAGCCGACCCATTATCCGATACCATTTTTCGTGGTACACCAAACGTCGCAAAAACATTGCATAACTCGCAGATAACGGATGCTGAGGTCATACTCGAAATAGCGCATACTTCAAGCCA